CAATTATAGCTCAGGATCTCTGTGTGGATGAGATATTCCTTAGGGATAGATATCTAGATGCAGAATTTCCTTCTGGATGAAATATTCCTTAAGGATAGATATCCGGATGCAAAGCCCACATGGGTGCATAAATATATTTTTTCCTCTATTTTAAGGCATGAGAAGATGAAACTTCATCTTTAAAAGCTGGACTGCTGCTTCTCAACCCTTGACTATGAAATCCTCAGTTCAACAATCACTTTCCTACACGTTTATGTAGAGGCAGGTTTCAGGTGTTTGTCTAGGACAGACAGGGAGAGAGGATCCTTCAGTTCCATCTTCTCCCTGAACAGGACATGCAGCTGCCTCTGCCCAAGGCAAACACCCAACAGCAGCCAACAGCAGCAATTTCTACAGCCTCTTGTGACCACCCAGAACTTTATTCTATGATAAATCCAGCTCTACAATCAGCATATCCTAATTCTGGGAGCAGTCACCCCTGGGAAAGTGGTCAGTGCAGGCAGCTGCCTGCTTCCAGAAGAGATTCCAGTAGGCAGGAAATCACTACTTGAGACCAGGAGGGAGCATGAACTTGAGTATTGCATACAAGGTGCCTCCGTGACCTCCACTACCCAGGAAACGATCAGCTGATCCTTGCAGGACACGCTCCTGAGGAGTGTGGAGTCAGCAACCTTGGGAAGAGCAGGTTTCCCATGAGAACTGAGGAAACAGAGGGAAATGCAAGCAGCACAGCAAACCATGGCAGCAGTGTGAGTGCAAGGGGCAGTGTGGCACAGTGCAAGACCTTTCCCATCCCTTACAACACCACCCATAAAATAAAAAATGTTGGCAGCTGGCATTCCAGATGCTGGAATGCCAAGAGTTTCATTTATAACAGAAATCAAGAGTTAACCACTTTCTGGGCCATGACTGGGACTGAAGGTGCTTTTGGATCAAATCCTGCAGGTGCCCAAGTGATTTTGGCCAACAACTTGGGGACAGGTCTGGCATATCCCAGCTGCTTCACTATGAGACCCAACATCCTCCTGCATTGAGTCTCAGAGCCAGCACAAAGGGAAATGGCTTCCCACTGCCAGAGGGCAGGGCTGGATG